TAAGCTTATATGCACTGTGCATCCCCAAGAGGGCAATACAGTGTGAGGCATTCCTCTCTAGTTTATTTCATCTCTGAGCTCTCCTTTCTCAACACTCAGAACAGGAACAGTGACCCGAGAAACACTTGTTAGGGAAATGGTGGTGTAATTAAATCTTGAAGTTTATTAATTTTCTCATTACTAAATTTTAAAATGTATTCTCTCTGCTACCTTCTTATTTGAGTATAAACCAGAGAAATCCAGGAGTGGGAGCACCAAGTCTGAAAGTCAGAGCATCTGAACCAGTTTTGTGTCTGGGAAATCATTTCCCTCTGGGCTCACACTCTCCCATCTGTAAATCAAAGAGTCAAACCTGTGTGACCTCTGACTCATGGACATTGAGGCTTTTGTAGCCCTACTGATGTCCTTTCTCCTATGATGCAGGAAATCTAATTGTGTTTACTGTAAAAAAGGGAAGACGCTTTTACTATTTCCCCCAAAGGGTTTCTCATTATTCTCTGTCTTATCCATTTACAGCTGCTTTGTTTATTTCTCTACAGAAACCATTTATGCCTCTTTAGTCCTGATCACTTAGATTTGATATGATCAAAGTTGCCACTTCTGTCTTGTCCAAACTGGGCATCTTAGAATCTCACTTTGAATTCTCAGAACCCAAAAGCCAGTGAAGTGCAGGGGGCAGACATATCACCTTCTGGGAGACTCCAAAGTGCTGTTATCACCTTTAATGAGGTGTTTTAAAGGGAGAAGTCAGTCTGCATTTTCCCTGTGCTCTCTGATGTGTTTCTTCCTGCTCATCGGGAAACTAGAAGATGGCAGCTATGAAGCCTCCCCTGTTGAGCAGCCCAGGGGCGGGGTCTTATTCCTGATTCACTTCCTCAGACCAGCAGTGCTCCAAGGCTCTCTTCCCACCCATATGTGATTATACCCAGCCAGATCTCTCTCCTTCACAGAGGGCCCTTTTTGTTCTGTATTATCACATTCATTCTTAAAAATAAATATATGTATTCTTGGGTTTCTGTGCTTTCAAACTTTACATAAATATGAGTCATACAGTTTGCATGCTGTACATGCATATACATGTGACTTGTCTGTCTCAACAGCATGTTTTATTAGAGACTCATGCATGTGGAATATACCTTTAGGATGTTCTTTTTCACTGCAGTGGAGTATTCCATTGGCATGAAACAAGCATACACTATTTGTTTATCCTTCTTCCTGTTTATGATTGTTTGAGATGGTTTATAGGTTTTATTTATATTTTTTCCTCTTTTGAATGTTACTGTTACTAATGTTCTTCTGTTAGGATGAGCTATGTGAAATAGGAGTTTTTATAGGTCACCATTTATTTCATATGATTCAACCCAATTCCCGTCTATTGGTGCATATTTGCAAGATGATGTCTGAGAAATATACCTACAGAAATGCTGAGGTACATGCATCTTCAATTTTGAAAATGAGGCCTACTTGTGTTACAAAGAGACTGTACTAGTTTGTACTCACTATATCAAAATTGTCCCACCTCCTGGTAACACTGGATAAAGACAGTTTTGGTGTATATTAAATATGGTTTTAACTGCAATTCTATAACTACCAGTGAAATTAGCATCTTTGTATATGTGTATTTGCTATGTCTGTTTCTTCTTCTGTATAAAAATGTGGAAGTGACTTCAGAACTGGGTAAGGGTAGAGCGTGGAAGAGTTTTGAGCTGTATGTTAGAAAAAGTCTAGGTTTCCCTTAGGAGACTGTTAGTAGAAATATGAATGTTAAAGGTGATTATAGTGAGGACTTGGGAAGAAAAGAGGAGAGAAGGAGAGAAAGCTTCTCTTATATTAGAGAACACATATATCATCATGAACAAAAAGTTGATAGAAATATGAATGTTAGAGGCGTCTGCTGAGGTTTCAGAAAGTAATGAGATATATGTAATTGGAAACTGAAGGAAAGGCATTCTTGGTTATAAAGTGGCAGAGAATTTGGTCTAATTGTGTTCCAGTGTTTTATGTAAAGTAGAATTTGTCAGTGACTATGGACTTGGATAGTTACCTGAGAATTCTAAAATAAGTATTAAAGACTGGCTTATGCTTGCTGCTATAATGAGACGTGAGAGGAGAGAGGTAAACAAGACAGAATTGTTCCACGAAAGGAACCAGAACTTGCAGATTTGGAAAATTCTCAGTCTACTCATACTGCAAAAATGAGAAAGTCTGTATATGGAGAGCAGTCAGGGTGTGACTGGACAACCATTTGCTTATGAGATTAGACTGTGGCTCACAGACCCAGTCAACCGTTGCAGCAGAAACTGGAAACAGGGACGCTGTTACCCAGGACAGATCAGTAGAGGATCCTCCTGTCTGATGGCTTGGCCCCCTGAGAACTGCATGGGAAGCTGACAAAGTTCTGGAGAATTTACATCGACAGAGACACTGCCAGCTTAAACTAAATAGAGCCAGGATAACTGAGGGAAGGCTGCTGGGCTTCTGAGAGGCGACAGGATGGGCCAGCGGAGCTGTTGGGCTGCCAACATGCATTATCCGTCAGGAAAAGGGAAGGATGATCCTGCAGACAAAACGGACGTCTGCAGGGGCGTCACTGTCACACGGCCTGGGGAGGGCCCTGTCCCTCCTCAGCTCCTGAGAGTGGGCCCCGCTGCTGTGGCTACTCCCAGGGCCACGGGGGTGAGGCCGCCGCCCTGCTGGACTGGGGGATAGAGCACGGAGCCAAAGAGTTATCCTTGAGCCTTAGGCAAACGAAACGAGGAGACTCGTAGGCACAGGGAACAAACTGGTGGTTGCTGAAGGAGAGGGGGTGGAGGGAGCAGAGGAAATCGGCGAAGGGAATTATGAGGTGCAAACCTCCAATTATAAAATAAAGAAGTCACGGGAATGTAAAGTACACAGGGATAAAAATATTAAAAATAAACAAATAGTAGATTATGCATGAAGAAAACTACACATGGGGAATATAGTCAATAATATTGTAACAACTTTGGATGGTAACTGGACTTGTTGCAGTGATTATTTCATAATGTATAAAAATATCGAATCACTGTGTGGTACAGCTGAAACTAACATAGTATAGTATGTCAAGTATAACTTAATAAAAAAAGCCTAATGGAATTTGCCCTGCTTTCAGACTTGCTTGAGACCTAAGCATTCCTTCTCCTTTCCAACCTCTCCCCGCTAGAATGCAATGCTCTCCAATGCCTGCCACACTACACTACTCTGATAGCAGATAACTTGTTTGCTTCCACAGGTTCACAAGGGGGAAGGATTTTTGCCTCGGGATCAATCACCTATACCTAAGGTAGATGATAATGAGATGAGATTTTGGACTTCGAGTCGATGCTGGAATAGGTTAAGACTTTTGTGGCTGTTGGGATGAAGTGATTGAAATGTACATGTGAGAAGGACGTGCTATCTGGGGGTAGGGGGTGCAAAGGGTGAAGAGTTACAGGCTGAGACAAATTCATATGTTGGAGTCCTAACCTGAGCACCTCAGATTTTTACTGTATTTGGAGACAGAATATTTAAAGTGGCAGTTAAATTAAAATGATGGTATTAGAGTGGACCCTAATCCAATGCAATTGTAATCCTTATAAGAAGGAAAAATTAAGACATAGGTGTGCACAGGGGGACCTCCATGGGAAGATACAGGCAGAAGATGACCATCTGTAAATCATGGAGAAGGACTGCAGGAGAACTCAACTCTGCCAACATCCTGATCTCAGACTTCTAGCCTTCAAAACTGGGAGAAAATACATTTCTGTTATCTAAGCCACCTCATCTGTGATGCTGTTACTAGCCAGCCGTTACACCTACGTGCATGCCAATACCACTCAGTCTTGACTAATGTAGCTTTATAATAAAGACATTCAGTATTGAGCAGAGGTGGTAACAGTGGTCATTCTTGCCTTTTTCCTGATCTTAGGGGGAAACAGTCAGTCTTTCATCACTGAATTTGACGCTAATTGTAGGTTTTTGTTGTTTTTATTTTTTTAATGCCTTTTATATGATGGAGGAAATATTCTCTAGCCTTAGTTTTCAGAGGGTTTCTATCATGAATGGGCACTGAAGTTTGTCAAATGCTTCTTCTGCATCTCTTGAAATGATCAGATGATTTTTTCCTTTTATTCTACTTATGTAGTGGGTTACTCTGATTTTTTAATGCTGAACCACCTTACATTGCTTAGATAAAACTCACTTGGTTATGGAATGTAATAATGCTTTTGAAATCTTGCTGCATTGGTTCCACAGATATTTTTGTGGAGAATGTTTGAATTTATGTTTGTGATGCCCATCAATTCTGGGCACTTTTCTGGAATTATTTAATTTTACCACTGGGTGCAACTACTCACTAAAATTTTTTTTTTTAAATGTAGTTTCCCATAATTTTTAGGTATGCACCTCTGGGGAGGCGTTGCTTTGAAATATACTTTCTGGTGCTAAGAAAATGTCTAAAAGTATTATTTTACTCTTTTTTTTTTTTTGCAGAAGAGAGTTTATCAATTTCTAGTTTGTATTTCAGTCATGTGATAAAAGCTTCAGGAGATGTATAGGATACTTTTTTAAGTATGATTTTTTTTTATCTTGCAATTATGTGTAATATTTACAATTTGAGACTTCAAATCACAGAACTTGAGAAGTTTTGGATATCATCTTTTGGCATTTTACAGAAATTTACAGCAGATCTCATGTACACCTCATTTTATTGAAAAGAATAATTTATCATTTTTTTTCTAATTTAAGAACAGGGGTAAATAACAGTGTTAATGATCAGTTACCTTCTCTTTTTCTCTGCAGCCTTGCTGAAGTTGTCTGTAAATATTTGCTGACTATGAGAGCAGAGCAGGAAACCACCTTATATAAACACTGTGTTTAATTCTATTTAATAACAACATTGGTTGATTTTATCCGTGGAGAACTTTTTTCTTGCCCTCAATTTGTGGTCTATCCTTTGATTTCTCAGGTCTTGTCCCACCGTCTGTGTTTGGTGTTAAGTCATGGGGAGGAAGCTGGACCTGTCTGGTCTGACCGACGATGAAACAGAGCATGTCCTCCAGGTGGTCCAGCGAGACTTCAATCTCCGCAAAAAAGAGGAGGAGCGTCTCAGGTGAGATGCTCCTATTTTGCACCTGGGTACCTTCAACCACGTGTGGACAAGTGAAACAGGCTTCCTGATGGTCCTTGCTGTCAGCCCTGTGTTCAAAGTGTTTCTATCACGTAAACACATGTAAAAAGAATGTCCTTCCCTCTGTAGTCAGGCGGACTAGCCTCACTGCTGGGCACCACAGTGTCAGCTCAGAAATGTGACTGTTCTCACTGGCAGTCAACATTGCTGTTTGGCTGCTCACCTGGTACATTGTTAGCTATAGAATGGATGGAGTTTGTGATGACAGTCGCTGCTCTGAGCTTGCTCCTGGCTTTTATTTTCTTGCCCAGGTACTCTTGAAGAATAACCGAAGTGTTATATAAATGGGGGAATTAGACTCACAGCTTCTGTTAGACCCATACTCTTCTGTTAGAGCTCTTGGCTACTATGGCAAAGAAGGAGAGCTCTGAAGACCTGGTTCAAGGAGAGTGGTCAGCAGGCTGGGATGAGAATACCTGGCTCAACCTTGCCCCCTCATTTTATAGAAGGGAAAACTGAGATCCAGAGAGGAGAGCTTGTGACTCCTCTGCAGTTGATGTTTTCTCATGGGATGTTCTTGGAAGTACTGTTGCTGCCTAAATTTGGAAGAAGAAAGAGTGATGGAAATGTGGTCAGTGCTGGGGTTTGTGTGTTAGAACCTGATGACAAGTCCTCATGAGCTCCTGTCCTCCATAAACCTGTTTTTATGTTTGAATTTTTTTAATGTTTTTTTTTTTAATGTGGACCATTTTTTTTTAAGTCTTTATTGAATTTGTTACAATATTGTTTCTGTTTTATGTTTTGGGTTTCTTTTTTTTTTTGGCTGCAAGGCATGTGGGATCTTAGTTCCCCAACCAGGGATCAAACTTGGATGCCCTGCATTAGAAGGTGAAATCTTAAATACTGGCCTGCCAGGGAGATCCCCTCAAACCTGTTATCCCTCGGGATTTCCCAGGTTTGTCATGGTACTGCCTCCTTCCTTGGCATTGAGCTCAAAACCTGTCTTTATAATTCCTCCCTGACTTGGTTCTCACACAGGCTAGGGCCAGACCTTGTTATTTCTGCCTCCTCAGCATCTCTCCCAGTCATTGTAGTAACTTTCTCTATGATCCTCTCTACTTCTCCAGAGTGGTGCCCCGTTTCAGTTTGAACCATGCTCTTTCCCACTCTGCTTAAAATTGACATGGGTTGTTTTCTTTTGCCTTGGAGTTTCCCAGTCTTTCTGTTTCTGTAGAAGAGTAACCCCCATTTCTTGTAAGCACCCTTGTGTAATTAACTTTATTTCTACCATGTTTTTTCCCCATACCGTATATATTCAATATGTGCTTGTTAGATGGAAGACAAGAAATATGTTAAATAGTTACTTCACTTAAAAACCATGTGCCACAGAAACAGACATATGAGTCAATGGAACAGAATAGAGAGCCAAGAAATAAACCCACAGACTTCTGGTTAATTGATCTTTGACAAAGGAAGCAAGAATATACAATGGGGAAAAGACAGTCTCTACAGCAAGTAGTATTGGGAAAGTTGGGTAGCCACATGTAAACTGAAATTAGAATATACCCTCACACTATACACAAAATAAACTCAAAATGACTTAAAGACTTAAATATAAGATATGGTATCATAATAATTCCTAGAAGAGCTCAGAGGCAAAATATTCTCCGACGTAAATCATACCAATGCTTTCTTAGGTCAGTCTCCCAAGGTAATAGAAATAAAGACAAAAATAAACAAATGGGACCTAGTCAAACTTACAAGCTTTTCCACAGCAAAGGAAACTATAAACAAAATGAAGACAACCCACAGAATAGGAGAAAATATTTGCAAGTGGTGTGACTGACAGGTGTATATTCCCAAAATATACAAATAACTCATACAACTCAAGAACAAAAAGACAAACAACTCAATTGAAAAATGAGCAGAAGGCATTAATAGACATTTCTCCGAAGAAATAATATAAATGGCTAATAGGCACTTGAAAAGATGCTCAACATTGCTTATTATTAGAGAAACGCAAATCAGAACTACAGTGTGTATCACTTCACACTGGTCACAATGACCATCATTAGAAAGTCTACAGATAACAAATGCTGGAGAGGATGTGGCAGAAAGGGAACTCTCTTACACTGTTGGGGAATATAAGTTGTTCCAGCCATTGTGGAAAGGGGTATTCTCAGAAAACTGAGAATAGAACTACCGTCTGTCCAGCAATCCCACTCCTGGAATATATCCAGACAAAACTCAATCCAAAATGATACAAACACCCCTATGTTCCTAGCAATACTATTCAAAATAACCAAGATATGCAAACAAGTGAAAGGTCTATTGACGGATGAATGGATAAACACAATGTGGTACATATATATAAGGTAATATAAAAAAATGAAATAATGCCATTTGCAGCAACGTGGATGCAACTAGAAATTATCATACTAAGTGAAGGAAATCAGAAAGACAAATACCATATGATATCACTTATATGTGGAATCTAAAATATGAGACAAATGAACCTATCTACAAAACAGAAACAGACTCTCAAACTTACAGAACAGACTTGTGATTCCCTGGGGGAAGGGGGGTTGGGCGGGATGGAAGGTTGGGGTTAGCAGGTGTAAACTCTTGTATATGGAATGGATAAACAAGGTCCTACTGTATAGCACAGAGAATTATATGCAATATCCTATGATAAACCATAATGGAAAAGAATACTTAAAAAGGAAGATGTGTGTGTGTATAACTGAGTCACTTTGCTATGCAGCAGAAATTAACGCAACATTGTAAATCAACTATACTTAAAAAATTCCACATTCTAGGCACTGTTTTAGCTGTTGGGTACATAACAGTGAGCCAAACAAGCCTTCACCCCATGGAGTTTATATTTCAGAGCTATACTACCCATCCTATAGCCATCAACCACATATGGCTTTGTGCACTTATAATGGGGTGAGTCTGAATTGACATGCACTGTAGCATACACACCAGATCTCCAAATTTTAGTACCAAAAAATGTAAGCTATCTCATTAATAATTTTGATGTTGACTACATTTTGAAACACCAATTTTTGGATACATGAGGTTAAAGAAGAAACATTAAAATTAATCTTCCCTGCTTATGTTTACTTCTTTTTTAGTTTGGGTACTAGAAATTTTTAAATTAAACATGTCTCACGTTATATTTTAATTGACTAGTGCTGCCTTAGAGGGAGGACAGAGACAGAGGACGTAAGTAAATAAAAATATACTTGTATGTATTAGGTGATGAGAGCCACGAAAAAGAATGAAGTGGGGAAATGGGGCAGAGACTGGCCTGGGATGGGCAGGGGGCTCTCTAGTGCATGGGTGGCTCAGGGAAGGCCTCTGTGGTCTTGACGGAGGTGAGGGAGGGAGCTGGGCTGCTCTCTGGGGTGACCTCAAGCTGGGCGGAGGCAACAACAGATGTCAGCTTCTGATTCAGGAATGCGCCTTTATGTTTCCAGAGAAGCTGGGAGGGACTGAGCCGGGGAGAGTGCAGTGGTAGAACAAAGTCCAAGCAATATCCTAAGTTCGAACCACTTGTAGTAAATCCAGACTCAAAACCACAGCAGTGGGCAAACCTTTCCTTGCCTCTGCATCGCCTGGATTTAGGAGATGTGGAAGAGTCTTGGAAGCTATGCTACAGAAGGTGTTTTTGAATACTTTAATTTTTGTGGCAATGAGCATAAGATTCAGAATAGAATATTTTTATTATTATAAGATTTCAAATTGAATTTTGTTTCTTTTCTCCTGGACAGCTGTTCTTTATTTACCTAGTTTCTCTGGTTAGGTTTTTGTAAGGGTAGGTCTCAGGTGTAGAGGTTACACAGTGTTTCTAATGATCTGTTCTTCAGTATTGACATAAAGTGTGGTAAATATATAGGTGGTGAAAGCATGAGTTAAATGCCCTCAGAACACATGATGGTAAGACAGAGCAGGCAGGGGCTGAAGTGTTCAACACAGTTAGGTCACAGAAATAAGTTCATGGAGAGCTAACTAGAAGAAAGGAAGTAGTCTGGGTGCACTGCACAGTTTTCATTGTTATTTCTTTATTATTATTCCTCATTATTTCATTATTATTGACTCCTCATACAAGTTCCCATAAGGAGGATCCCCATGTACATGAAGACACCAAGGCACAGACAGGTTACAGAGCTTTCTCAGAATCACACAGTTAATTGGGATAGAGCCAGGGTTCTGTTTCCCACATTCTCTGAATGCTATAGATTGAATCAAGCCTTTTCAAAACTGTTCTTTGGTGCAAGTAGAAGAGTCCTGTCTCCCACTCTCCACCACACTCTCTAATGAGCAGAGTCACACCACAATTGGGTATATCAGCTCCTGCGTATATACACAGTCATAGGTCTTCCTATATAAAGTGACTCTGTGGGTCCCGTATCATTGAGACTATATGCTTGAAGCACTGGGGATGCGGTGTATCGAACATTTAATCCCATTAAAGATTGTATGTATAGTAGGACAAGTTAGGGGGAAGACAGAGGACTGGCCGGCCTGAGAACTGTGGGCATGCAGCAGCAGATAGAGGACAGGATACTTATGTACAGTGTTGATTTCCTTTTCTAGGACACACCACAGTATTAAAGCTATGGATGGAGCACATCAGAGAACAAAAGACATACTGACCCTGCTCCTTCCTCCAGGTGCTTGGGGGTCTAGATGAATCAGGTAAATGTGTAGAAAATACACACTATACTTGATTCATTTTATTCCTTGTCTTTCATCAGATGATTTCATGCAAATAGGAAAAAAACAAAATGGTAAAGAACACTTTAAGGTGAAAGGCACCAGTCCTCTGCTCCATGTGTAATCAGTTTTGTCCTTAATTCTGTAGTCTGCCTAGCCTTACCTCTGTAAATTTAAAATATGTGGGTATGTTGCTGTTTCTTGATGTATCAATATTAGGTAGTCTTTCATTTCTCTGCTCTGAATAGTGGGGACTTTGC